GTGTGTCATGGATCCCATCAAAATACCCCCCATGGTTAGCCCCAGCAAGGAGGCTGAGAGTCTGCAGGAGTGGAGTCTGGGTGTTCCAGGTAGTGCGCCTGGGAGGCCAGACAGACCCTCCATCCCTCTCGGAGGTTAAAGTCCCTCGTGGAATGTGCCATCTCCCCTCTCAGAGGCTCCACTGGCTTCTCTGTAAGCTGAGTGACCAGATATGCTCTACCAGGGAGGCTCCAACTTGAGTCTACGTGGATGTGCATTCACAGAGTGGGAGAGCCTTATGTACTTTGTTACAAGCAGTACTCACAAGGTCGCACCAGTGCTGCCTGTTATGGGACCATTCCAGGTTACTCAAGCGCTTCTCTCAGTGTGTGGCAAACACGGTACTTCCTGCTGCCCTCAGTCCCTGTGGGACGCCTGCGGTGTGCTTCATGCTGGTCTGAGAATAGCCGCCATCTCGTCCTTCCTAGTGACCCACTTGTCCTTTGGGTGGTTTTCACCCACTGACTTGCCATCCACAAAATAGCTATTGCCAGTGAATGTATAGGACTCCTGGATCACGTAGGGTACCATGAGAAATCTTGACATAGAAATATCCTTCTTTTAAAAAGTGGGTTTTATTTCTGTTTTAGTGTTCCTTGAAATATTATGTTTTCACTGCTCTGCAAATAGAGAAAGATTGAGAATCGTTTTCCTGAGCCATCCCTAGCCCACCCCCAATCCCTGGACATGATAGTTGTATTCTCCTCTGACTGGAGTTTTTGTCAGGAAACATGTCCAGTCAACATCTGGATTCCCTGCAGCTAGCAGCTCTCAGAGCACATGCTGTGTCTTCGAGTAGAGCTGTGTTAGCTCTCCAGAGTCTGAGGCAAAGATCTCACTCCACTCCTTAGTTTCCCTGGGCTTACTTATTCTGCACCCATGCACCCCCCATTCACAGTCCCAGAAACTGTACCTCTGTGAAGCTAAGAAATGCATCCAAGTATGGAAGAGCTCCCCAGCATCCTTCCAGACACCAGACCAGCACCCAGCCAGCAGACAAACATGCAAGCAAACCTTACTTCACAAGGCACCCCAAAACAGCCATTAATGAGACAGGAAAACAACAGCAAAAGCTTAGTGTTATCTTTGTTCAGCAGAGGAAGCCTGAGGCAGGGGTATCAGCCTAGAACTGGACTCCCTGGGAACTTGAGCTATTATTCTGAAATGGGAAACTACCTCCCTGGATATTTTCCCAAGAATGTCATGAAATTAAATATGAACTAGTGAGTTGGGGGTTTTCCCCAGACCTTACAGTCATCCCAAGGATTTTTTTTTGCCTTTTGGGTAATACCCAGCAATGCACAGGGTTCACTCCTGTCTCTGCACTCAGGAATTACCCCTGGCAGTGCTCAGGGGACCATATGGGATGCCAGGAATCAAACCTGGGTCGGCTGAGTGCAAGGCAAATGCCTAACACACTGTGCTATCGCTCCAGCCCCTGGATCATATATTTTTGTGTTACATTTTGTTATTACATTTTGTTCTTCCATTTTCTGCTTGGCAATGGCCTTCCATTAATGTTTTTAATACTATTTTAGTGATTTTGAAAAGTATTTCTTAAATTTTGACCAAGGTTCTATTCTTACTTCACAGTTTAGTTAAGAGACTTAAACTATTTTCCTGGGGCCAAAAAGACAGCAGAGGAAGTAAAGTACTTACCTTATATGCAGCTGATCCTAGTTCCATTCCAGGACAGCATATGGTTCCCCAAGTCAGATCATGGGGAACCATGGGTGACCCCTGAGTGTAGAACCAAGAATAGCCCTAAGCACTGTCAAGTGTGATCCCCGAGTTGCACCCGGGAAGGAGGGGAGGGGAACTGTGTATGTGTTACATGTCCTAAAAGTAGATGTGGTGGGTTGGTAATACCCGGGTGATTATTATAAATTGAGTAGAATTGATTTTAAAGTTAGAATCTGGTTTAGAATTTGTAATTAAGACATAACCAATGTCCTAATACTAATTGATGATTAATTCCGTCATTGTTTAAAACTGAAGAAAAGGACAAAGAATTTGGAAGGAGGTTGCATCTGGCTAAAGAAGTTCATTGAATTGACTATGTATTCTGGGATTCCACTTGAACAAAGGATGATCTGACAATTCTCAAGGGAATTAATGCAGCAGATGCAGTGAATCTCTGTTCACCATAAAGGGGTCCCGTTTTAACCAAACTGGAGTTGGACAGAATATAATGGGGTCCCTGCAGGAAGCACACGCTGTGTCCCAAGCAGCGTATACCACAGCCTCAATTGCACAAGGCTCTTGATTTCTGTATCTGACCTGTGGTCTCGCAGAGGTCAGAGAAACCTCTTAATTTGGTGGCCCCAACCCCGCACCTATAGGGCCAGACTCTGCGTGGTCACATGGTCCGTGGGTGATTCAGTTGCCCATTCCAGTTTGAGATGCACTAATTGCACAGCTTCCTGTTGGATTGTGTCCTTTGGGTGGGTCGTAGGATGTCCTGTGTCTGCTTCTGCATCTAGCATCCTGAGGCAACTGACAGCCGCTGTCATCCTGTCCTTTGCGGAATGCAGTTCATCCTGTACACCCTCTGCCCCCAATTCTTCTGCAGATTCCTAACATATAGTTTGTCCCACCTGGCTCTCATAAAGTTGATTGTTCCTGCCTTGATTTTTAGGCCTGAAAATAATTGGTAATCTTATGATTCCTCTTGTTCTGGTTTTATTTGAAATATCCTTTTACAAATCAGTGTTTAAAGGAAACAAGACTGCTAGGAAAAAGCAGTGATTGCTTTTCTGTGCTCAAGTTTCAAACCCCAAAGGTGGCCATTCACATTGATTTTCTTCCTTTTCATTCTTAGGAGGAAGTAACATAACGGATTGGGGCGGGGCGGAGAAAAAATAATGTCATTGAGAATTCAGCTCATATGGCCATTTCATTCTGGAAATCATTTTCATCATCATTCTCGGCCTAAGAAATTTTAGTTGTCTTAAGAATAATTTAACACTGCCAAATCTGGCTCATTAAAGCTTTGAGGGGGGTGGAGTGGTCACATTGATTTTTTTATTTACTCCTCTCGAGTTTTCTAATGAGCTAAAGAAGAGCAAAGTCAGTTAATTGGTAGCATTGGCTCTGCATGTGACTTGGGTCTGCCACATTCAAATCAAAATGTGGCCCTTTGGAGTGATGTAGTTCACTGCAGTTGGACCAAGAGCCATCCTGGGGAAGGAGGGTGCAGTCATGAGCACACGCCAGCTATCACACCCTGAATGTGATTGCACCTCCCTCCCCTCGCAGCTTTCATTAGCTGGACCATCTATAAAGAGGCATGTCCCCTGCCCAGTAAAAGCCACAAGTCCCCTTCCTGGACTGCTTTGGCCTTTGGTCCCCATGTTTTGAGAGGCATTTGGGGAGGGAAGGTCGCCTTTTCATCCTTAGCCCCCTGGGACCAGGCAGGGAGGAGTCGGGGTCCTGAGAAGTGAGCTCAGCTGGGTACTAGGGGCAATTCCCGCCTTTGCTTTCAGGTTCTTGGCCCTTCTCCTGGTCCCTCTGGGATCAGCTGAATTCACAGACAGGAAACATTTTCTTTCCTCCCTTTGGTAGCCCCAAAGATGAGGTACAAAGCAGTTGCCAAGGAAGACACACCTTTAGACAGAAAATGAATCTTAGGGAAGAACTTGGTGCGGAACTGACCAGACAAAGAAGGTGGGGGTGGGAGTGGGGGGCATGTGGGAGGCGGAGACAAGTTTGTTTGCACACATCTCCACACCCGGTCAATGCTGTGTGTGAGGTGCCTGTTTTGGGAGAAGGGGACCCCCTTCCTGCTTTCAGAGTGACTGAGGGAAGGGAGTTCTTCCTGAATCCATTGTTTGAGTAACTTTCGTACCATTGCACCAAAGTGGGGTGTGCGGGTGCTGTGAGCCGCTGTCTTTCAGAGAACACCCCATCTCTGACGAGTGCCGGCTGCCAGTTCAAGCAGCTTGGGGCTGGGGAGGGTCCTTGTGCTTTTCCACTCGCCTGAGGGCATTTACAAAGATTTCCACCAGAGGTTCTCCCCCAGGCACACACGGGCAACAGAGTTTCCTATATTTTGTTGCATAATTGTTATTGCATCATCATCACACCTGATTTTTAAATAATTCCATCGTTTTAAAAAAACTCAAGTTAACAGTCACACCTCAATTCTTTGCCAAAAAATAAATTATCAGAGTGGAGCGATAGTCCAGGCTCCTCTTGCCTGATACTTGCGTGGTCTGCAGCTGAGCCAAGTTTGATATCCAGCACATTATAGTCCCCTTTGCACTTCCAGGAGTGATCCCTGAGTTTAGAGCCAGGAGTAAGGCTTGGTCACCACTGGGTGAGGCCCCCAAGCAGAAAACAAAGCAAACAAATAGAAATCACCATCAAATCTGAGGTGTTTTGCAGTAAAAATATGGTATTCAGTGAATTAATTTATCAATTGAGAATTTGGTTCTATGTAATCACACTTGAAATGGAGATTTATCTCCTCCCTTCTGTATGAGCTTCACTCCATTATTCAACCTCTTTAATCCTCATCTTCTCTAAAATGATAGAATGAATTCTAACACTTTGGGGGGATCATTAGGAGGATTATTGGGGTTATACGATGAGCATAATGCCTGGAAAAATCCCTGTCATCTAGAGAAGCATTCAGTGACAGCAAAACGTTTCCAGAACCGAACCTGACTGCCCCTCGGAGTGATCCTTGCACTCTCACCCAGCTTGTGGCTTTGATGATGGTCCTAGGCACTGACCTACTTTCAGGACACTGGAACTATTATCCATCAGGCCCTAGCTATTTTCATTTCTTTTCAAAGATGGTCTAATTGGGTTCTGCTGTGCATAAAATGTTGCCATCTTGCTTACTAGTGCCTTCCAAGCACAAATGCTTTTGAAAACTAGCCACAAGCAAAGAAATTATCCAGAAAGCAGAAAGCCACATGGCTAACTGGCTCTCTTCCCTCCTTCCCACGGGGAAGAATTCCCTGACCAGGAGCGCACCCCTTCCCAACGACTCCCAGGCTCGGAGCGGGGCTCGATTCCACACTTCCTACGACAAAAGGTACATCATCAAGACCATTACTAGTGAAGATGTGGCCGAAATGCACAACATCCTGAAGAAGTACCACCAGGTAAATTTTCTTTATCTTTATATGCGGCCGAGAAGATTAACATCCATAACTAATTTTAATCACTGAGGCCAACGATGGTTATAAAATGGTGAAAACACATTGAACCTAAAAACCATTTCATTACCGACTCGCTTAGGAATGCTTATTCTATGAAAGTCGTTAGTCATTTGTATAACACAATAAACATTCATCTCTACCACAGTTTCCTTGATAATAAACCACTCCTCTTAAGTGTTAGCAGTGTTTAGCCATGATGAAAGTTAGGTGCTGACCTCTGAGTATTTATCCACCCACACCTCCAAATCTTACCCTGCTTTCTTTTGATCACTTTCCATCTGTTCCCCTTCCAGTGCTAAGAAAATTCTGTGGAATGGATGTATGCCTATTTCCCATCCCCACCTTCTTCCTCTTGGCATTGAATGACCCTTGAGAACAGGTCTCTCTCCCCCGTGCAGAATCTCCACCCCTCACTGCAGCGTGCAGAGCACCTGCTCCCTGCTCCCAGTCTTAGCTGGCTGTTGCCTCCCTTCTGGTGAAGTTGAAAGAACCCATGTTTTAATCTCAGTCTTGCCCAAAACCTGCGAACCATGTGGCTTCCAGGCTTTGAAGCCTCAATGGCTTCATTTGATGGAGAAAATAACACCTAACTACAGGAGCCCTTGATTAAACGAGAGAATGTACACCTAGCACACTGTGTGCCGTGCATGAAGCGCTCACTGTATGGTGGGGATGGGTATTACCTTCTCTCCCTCCTTTTCTCTTCTCCTTCCCTTCCCTCCCTCTCCTCTCTCTCTCCCCTTTCTCTCTTCTTCCCACTCCCCATCCTTGTCATACCCTGCCCATTTCCCTCTCCAATCTTCTCTCATTTGTCCTCCCCCTCCAATTTTGGCCTTTCATCTAAATGAGCAAATTCCCACCAGAGCTAAAGATGAGCTATCATAATGCATTCAAAATAAAGTTCTGCAACCCCAGCATTAATCAGGTGGTCCTCAGGACATTTGAACAGTCACAGTCACATTATTTTGTGTGACCTCTCCCAGGGACAGCTTTGAATGCACCATGCATTTAGATGTGTGAGTGTGGAGACATCTGTTGACAAGTCAGCTTCCTTCCTTTTTGGCCATGCTTTATGCCCCCATGGATTATTGGCATTGGCTTGGTCTTCCCGTCTTTGCAAATGTGATCAATCTCAGGTTGCTGGCAGTGAGGGCTGTCCCAACCTTTGAGCTCCATCCTGCTTCTGGAAACTTGGGGCTGCACCTAATTTGTTCCCTAAAAGCATTAGTCAGTTTCTGCATTCATTGAGCATCTAATAAATCTTTTATCACTTTTTTTTCTTCTGAAACACCCCCCACAGTGCTTATGCTCTTGCCTGTGGTAAGGGGCATTGCAGAATGTCGACTGAGTCCCATGATGTTAAAACACAAGGCTTCTGAACGCTTACAGCTTTTAACACTTCACCTTTTAAACTGTCAACTCTTTCATTTATTTTTCCCCTCTGGAACTTAATTTTATACTTAGGCATTCTTTTATGCTTTCTTTAAACTGTCTCAGAACATTCAAAGCAAAGTAATATGCTCAGTGACTGATAAAAACATTTTTCTGGTAAGTGACTGTGATAACACTCTAATACAATATGACACGACTCAGGTATCAACTATTTTGATGACAACTTTGAGTTCAGGATTTTTTGACTTTACAGAAATCAGTTTGAAATGTGTTCTCTGGGGTAGTTACTGTAACCAGATAGGCGGTTTGACAGAGCCTTGGTATTACCCAAATACACTGGGGAGCCAAAGGAGTCGATTGACAAGCTCTGGAGGTTTTCAGGCACTCAAGATTTACTTTCTTCTCTCCTCCAAAACATTTATTTGCTTGGATTTGTCTTTAGTCAGAAAAGTCTCATTTATCCAACATATCTGTTTGTCTTTATTCTTAGAAAGAAGATTTTAAGTACAATTTGAAGGGTCTTAATGATTGAGAAACTTTATTATTTGTACTATTTGTTAAGCACTTTTTCCTCAACCTTTTTCTGACCATGCTCCCCTTCTGACCTTGTCTCCTCTGCCCTCCCCACCCCCATTTTCGCAGTTTTAACCTGAGCGCCCCCACCCCTTGGAATAGCCTGGGTACCCTCAAGGGGACTGTTTGAGAAATGCGAATGTAAAGGATCCAGTGTCGAAAGTCAGGAGATGCAGACCCTTGCGTGGTATGAACTGCATGCTTAGGGATTCTCTGAACGGCAGTCCCCCCACCCAGACCTCTCCCCCTGCCATGTCTTTCACTCACTCATCCATTCCTCCCTTCCTTCAGTTATACATTTGCTCTTGTTGTAATTCCAGAAAGAATGTTAGGTGGTTTTCAGTTTGAAATACGTTATAGAGTAAGGAGTAAAGAAGCTGGGAGAGCCAAGACACAGAACATACTGCAGAGAGTGAACCTGACCTCAGGTTGGGGGCCAGCAGGCTGGCTCCTGGGGTGGCCATCCAAGTGTCCCCTTGGTAAAATGCGGCTGGACCTGTTAAGGAGGAATGTGACGGTTCTTGGTGCTGAGATGAGATAGGCTTGGGTAGAAGTCTTCCCCTGGAGAGGACCCTTGGCCCCAAGAACATCCCTGCGGGCCATCACACAGCACCCGCACCCAAACCTCACAACCTTGAAAGAGAATCTTTTTGTGTTAGTTTTTTAAATTTTATTTGTATAAAGTTGCTCACATTAATTTATTACATTCAGTATTCCAACACCAATTCCACCATTGTAACATCTTCCCAGTACCTTTATTTCGAATTTTTCTGAGCACCACCCAAGCTTGCCTCAGTAGCAGGCCCTAAATAATTTTCTTTATATTGCTTGTTATGAATAATCTGCTAAAAATGATCAAAAAAAGTTTCCTTAGGGACTGGAGCAGGGTGTTTGCGTTGCACACGGCCAACCCAGGTTCTATTCCCAGCATCCCATATGGTCCCATGAGCACCACCAGGAGTAATTCCTGAGTTCAGAGCCAGGTGTAACCCCTGTGCATTGCTGGGTGTTAACCCAAAAAGGAAAAAAAGAAAGTTTCCTTAGAAGAAAGTGTGTGAAGATTATCTTACCCTGGAGCCATTAAATCCTTGTATAAGAGATTACTAACATGTTGTTACAGGTTGAGCCTTGTGCTCTCTCTCTCTCTCTCTCTCTCTCTCTATATATATATATATATATATACACATATATACACAAATATTTGTGTAATATCAAATTTTATATCGATATTTATCTATATATCTCTCTATATATTTGATAGAGATCAGTTGCCTTCTACTTTATACTCCATCCAATGTGGTGTGTGCTCTGCTACTCCTGGTAGGTACATCAGTGGTATAGAGAATGAGGTTTTGCATGGCCATAATCTTAAATAAGAATGTTAGAGCTAGAGTTAAGTTTTTTTTAACCTGATGGTGACTGCCAGGCTCTCCAAAGAGCAGGGAGATGCAGGGAGGTCGCTCATTCCCAACTCTGTGAAAGCCTGGAGTTTTTGGTCACAAGACCTGCATGCCTGAGTTTTTTTCAACAGATTCACTCATGGATAAGGCTCATCTCCACCCTGTGGGGATCGGCCGTGAGCCTGGCGGCTGGGTTCTGGAGATTTTCAGCTGCCGGGGATTTTCAGCTGCCGGGGCTCTGTTGGGGCGGGTGGTAGGTTCACCCACACCCTCCAGGGTGCACCAGATGAGACTCAGCCTTGGGTGGGGTCTGGAGGCATCAGAAAGAGCATCCTCAGTGCACACATACCCCCAGGCATGGTTAGACAGAATGCATGAGGCACAGGAGACATTTTGAGAAAGCGAGAGGAGCCACTTTCACAGGTTGCTCTCCCAGTCACATGTGACTGTCTGTCGCTGTTACTCATCTGGCCCTGGGTCTTGTGCATGGGTCCGGCCACATCTGTGGATGTATACGTGGAGGGGGAAATGGTGTCTGTAGGGATGGTACTGCAGTGGCTTCCGGCCGTGAGGGGGCAGGCTTGGCACTTGGCCCTGAACCCTCAGATAAAGGGGCGCCTGAGACCACACCAGAGAGACTCTCCAGTTAGCACCTGCAGCCGAGGGCACAGAGGCAGGAGCCAAGCCCCCACCCTCGTGGGCAGGACCCGAATGTTCTCACTTTCCCTCCAAGGCTGCTTTCAGGTTGCTGGGTCCGGAGTCTTCTTGGTGGCCAGCTCGGCCCCAGCCCCTGCGATCAGGCACAGGTCAACTCTGCCGCATCATCCTTCCCTTTTCTTAGAAGCCCCTGAGATGGTTGGGAGATCTTTTCTTTGAGGTTGGGGAGTGGGGTCACACAAAATTGTGTGCTGGGACTGCACCTGGCTCTGTGCTCAGGGTCATTCCTGGGTGTTGATGGGACCGTGCAGGGGCCAAACCAGGGTGGGCCACATGCAAAGCAAGTGTCCTGTCCCTGGTCCTAGGGTTAGGCCTTTGCATCTTTCGGAGGTAGGCCCAGACTTGTTTTAGTTGCACTCTTGGTAATGTTCCATCTGCTGTTTCCGAGGTAGTGATCACTTCTGTTTCTCCTTCTTTTCCTTGTGCTCACTGTCTGATTTGTTTTTTGCACTCACCCTCTCATTTGCCTTTCCTTGCTCTCACGGGCTGATTTGCCTTTTCTTACTCTCACCATCTGATTTGCCTTTCCTTGCTCTCACCGTCAGATTTGCTTTTTCTTGCTCTCACCCTCTGACTTTTGTGCTCTCACCCTCTGGCTTGCCTTTCCTGTCTCTTTGCCTCTATTTGCTTTTCTCTCTCTCTGATTTGCTTTTCCTTGCTCTAACCCTCTGATTTGCCTTTCTTCTCCCACCATCTGCTTGCTCTGCTTCTCCAGTGGCCCCAGGGATAAGGGACTGGGGCGGCCCTGGTTCTGATGGCTTGGCCAGTTGAGCACATCTCCACAGAGAACATTTGATGGACCCTTTGGGCTACTCGAGGGCCTTTGATTTTTTCCTTTCCTCTCTTTCCTTTTCTTACATT